CGAAGGTGAGTAGGGGGTAAGTCTAGCTGGTTGCCCATCCCTGGATTGCGTGTCTGACCTTCCATTCAATTGACACGCATTAGATGGATATGACCTACAATTTGGCACTAACGTCCTCGGACACGCGCACTTCACGTTGAGTCTCATCTCCGAGCTCGAGGCGGGCGCCAAGTCTTCTCCCGATGGAAAATCTCGCGTTGTAAATACGTCATCTTTGGTCGTGTACCTACACCCAATCACTCCAAGAATCAGGTTCGACACCCTCCAAGATAATCCTGAACGAAAGAAAATGGGTGCGAGAACCCTTTACTGTCAGAGCAAGTTTGTGAGTGAATCAAAAGCCACGAAAGTCTTGCCCACCAATCCGTTGGTCTAATAGATCTTACATAATAGGGGGTGATTGCTTTCTCTAACGAGCTGGCCAAGCGCTACGCCGACCACGGTATAACCTCCAACGCTGTTAATCCAGGTGAAGCATCTCCAAGTCCTTTTCTTTAGCACCCCGCTTACACATCGTCCATAATCAGGTAACCTCGACACAGGCTTGCAAAGATATATGTCCAAACTCCAGAAATGGCTCACGGTAAGTCTCATTAAGACAGCACCACGTTATTCTTACCGATGTGTATACAACTCTGCATGCCTTTACCAGGACCTCATCTTCAGTCACCCCGCTCATCTTGGGGCTCTGACTCAGCTCTATGTTGGGACCAGTGCGGAGACTGTCGACGCCAACGGGCAGATGTTCATTCCTTGGGCTCGCCCGTACATCCACGAGCCGGAGACTCACGATCCAGAATCGGAAGCGAAGCTGTGGGATTGGATAGAAGAGCAGCGTGCTGCACATACCTGAACAAGAATTTCGCGATGAGGCGTCGTGACGGCGTGTGGGAATCCCAATAGATAGCACCCACTATCGAGGCCCTGTCGTATACGGTTAACCGTGTTCTCCTATAATCGTATGACGTAGCGTGACAGCGGACAGATGTTCCTGCTTCACAACGCATCGGAAGAACTTTTCCCAAAGCACATCTCCATTTAACTTCACAGCGAGATCCCCACATTAGAAGTACATCTGGACAGAACACATCCGCTTCCTCCCAACTCCGAATCATTACAACTCAATCACTGGTATTACTGTCGCTCTCGTCTTGCCCGTAGACAGCAAACGCGGCCGTCCGCCTCGATGCAGCAGCGGGATCACCCATGCTCCTGCCCCGACGGTGAGATGGCTTTGACTCCTTGGCCGTCTTTTTTACAGATAGCGGACGAGGTGCCAAGTGACTATCCTGCGGACGAGGCGTCCGGGGGTCTGGGGAGTTTAACGCTACCGTAGGAGCCGAGCTAGGCGACTGAGGGTCTGCACCGCCCATGCCATCGTAATGACCATGACGCAGGTAGTGTTGAGCAGAATGCACATGGTGATGGGGAGCATGTCCAACTGGGGGATCGGAACCTCCAATGTACCGGCCGGGCGTCTCGATGCCGCTCGTGGGCGATTCGGGTCTCTTGGCTGTTCCTCCTAATATGGCTGCCGCTCGATGAGCTAGAGAAGTGAGCCCATGAGAATCACTGAGCGAGTCAGACGAGCCAAGTTGATTCCAATGGGCCTCGTCGCTTCCCCGTCTGTGATCTGTAGAGGGCACGTCAAAGGACGAGGAACCACGAGCAGCCAGCCTTTGTGCGGCATCCACGTTCTTAGCAGCCTCCGCAGACGAGTCGTCGATGTCAAACTTCTCTTCCTCTTCGTCGTCCACCTCGTCTTCTTCATCCATAGCCCCATCCTCTTCTTCGTTTCCCTTATCCGCGTCCTCAGTCTTGTCTCCTTCGACAGGGACCCTATTCGCAGCGTTTGGCGTCGAGTCCACCTTTCGACTGCGGTATTTCCTTCTCTTTGGTTTGGCTTCGCCGTCCGGACCTTCCTCGACGACGACGAAAGATTTCTGCCTTTCGCGTTCGTTCCATTTGAGCGTTCGCGAGATCGACTTGAACCAATCGGACGATTGCGAATCGGCACAGACAGTCGGGAAGGGGAACTTGGAGGCGGTGATCTTGATATGATCTCCCTCTGAAGTGACATGAAGAGCTATGAGTGGTCGATAATATAGTGATAACAAGACGTTATAGTTTCTCACGTCTCAGTTCTACCCTTCCTCTGCCATCAAAGCTCGCCCAAGCAGTACTCCTAGAGTTATAAGGAACACAGATGCGCAGCTCCATGCTGTCGGGAAGGAGCATAGGTCGGAACGACAAAGTATGCGGGCAGATCGGCGTGATCAGTATCGACGGGATCTCAGGATGGACGAGAGAGCCTCCAGCAGATAGCTGTCGACAAATGATCATGAGGACGGGCCTATTCGAAACCTAGAGTCCAATGGACTTACGGAGTATGCCGTAGATCCCGTTGGAGTGGAGATCGTCAATCCATCCGCTTGCACAGTGGTCATATGGTACTCGTCCCCTGATTATCCGGAGTTGCGGGAGACGTTAGCCAACTCTTTACTGTATTTCAAGTTAAGGCAGGCGACATACCGAAGAGTTCCAGCAAGCTCATATAAGGGCTTGGTCCACGATCGACCACCAGATCGTTCAGGACCTCGAAGCTCTCGCACGGCTTGGTCGTGTAGCACATGATCTCTCGGTCCTTGGGCTTGTTCGGATGCAAGGATGGGCTAGGCTGACTATTGCCCTCGACCGCTTCCCAGCCACCTTCCTCCATGGTCCGCATCCAGATCTCGCCAGTGTCACCCTTCTTCATGGCTTTGCTCTGTTTGCATCCATGTTTCGCTTCTTCTCCGCGTTTCAAAGCGCGATAGACGGTACAAGTGAACCGCATACGGAGGTTGACACGGATCCCCTTCTCGAGGACGTTGTCCAAGACGTGCTGGTGGTCTGTGAAGTCGAAGTTCGTGAGGAATCCGAGGGAACCGAGGGCGAAAGACAGAACCGGAGGGACGATGCTTTGGAACAGCCAAGACGTGAAGAGCACGGTACCGTCTCCTCCCAATGTGACAACGAAGTCGAACAGGTGGGGGCTCTGGCTGCACATATCGCTCGTCCAGTACCGTAGCTGACCTTCATCGCGCGACCTGGAGGTACCACCCCCATCAGTGGTCGAACCAGAATCGCTGGATGACATCGAGTACGCGCGACGTGGCTGAGGGACGAAGAACTCGGGATATTCATGCTCCAACCCTGCGGCATCAAATCGCTTTGAATGCTTTAGTTGAGCGTCGACATATACGACCATAGTTCGCCCGTTCTCTCCCTTCTGTTTTGACATGATGTAAACTGCGACGTCCCGTGTGAGCTTGATCAGTCGATTGTCTCTCGCTTTCGTAATGACCATGATGTTCTGGATGTTGGATTTAACCCTCGCTCGACCTGAGACGAAATTATGTGCATTAGTCACGAGTGGAGTAGTAAATGCCGACGGAATGAACGTGCCGAGCTGTTTACTCATCTCACGTACGCCGACTGCGGTAGCCGCAAGCTGTCTTGTGAGATTCCCCGCGTTGTCGTCATCGTCATCGTACTCTGAAGATATCCCCAGAGAGTGCATGCTGTCGGTAGTAGAGGGCGACGGCATCTGGCTCTGGGATGACGTTCGCGGCTGGTGCATTATCGGACTAGTAGGTCGCTGATCATCGTTTGAGTACCCTGTCTCAGCCCCGCGATCTTCTTGAGTCGCCTGGAGCCAATCCGTAAGAGAGACGCCCTTGTCCAGCAAGGAGTGGACGAAGCAGGGAGAGGGAGGCAATCCGCTTTTCTTTGGGGGATGGGGATGATTGCCATTGGCCATGGGAGTCTTAGCGGAGCGATTAGATTGGTCAGGTTGAACGAGTGACATGAGAGTAGATGGATTAGGACTGGGACCGGATTCGAGGTCAATACGTGGTTCCTGAGCCTTCTCAATTGTGATCGACCTAGGTCTGGTGAGTGTAGGTCGCCTGTTCGCGATTTCATCATGCTGCTCGTCCTTTGAAGGATCCATCGATTGCTGGGGGTCGTTGAGACTGATGAACTGCATCGCAGATGGGGAGGAGGAGTAGCGGAGCTTGGATGGAGTGGAAGGTACGTTGTTTGATGCCATAGAGTTTATGTAGTTATACGTAGTGTTTGATCAAAGAAGACTCTTCGGGGGTGGAGGCAGAGCACGTCGATCACTGATGATCCCTGAGCTTCCAATTCGACATGAACGCGTTGTTGCTGTGGACGCCGTAGTATGACCACAGTCGCGATCTCGACCGAGTCCTGCCGCCATCGATAGAACTCTTCTCACCGTTGTCGCGGAGATATTGGGGCAGATTGATCCCTGCTTATGCCGCAATGTGCTACGCATTTTGATATAGTTGTGATCGAGTTTTGGAACGTGTTTGTCTTAAGGAGTTTGACCCGTCGCCTCCGTTCATCTACCCAAAGAGGGGTGAATCCGGAATTGTCGGCAGCCTACTTTGTGCACGGTCAGCGCCATTAAAACTCGGGTAAGGTAAGGGGCTCCCGATTTGCGATGCCGAGTTGGAACCAAGGACTCCAAAGTTTAGGAACCTGGGGAGATCGGCGTCATATATCTTTGATGGCCTACGATCACTCAGGAAATATTGGAGCCAAGGGATCGCTCAAGCTGGATGGTTGGCTTACAAGCTGACTATCCACCTTTACAGTTTTAATGTGAGGCCCACCATATTATCAGTCAGTTGTCATTGTATCCCCACTTGTTTCGCCTGACGCGGCTGGAGAAGTGTATTCTACAATGCGACAACGCCGTGCGTTCTCAGCTCAGTTTTCGGGTAACACGCAGGCTTACAGCGTAGCTACCACACGAACCAATTCTTCGATCGCTTTCATTTCAGGAGATTAATGTATAAGCGTTTGCACGGTCTCTTATACCAGTGTTCATGTTCACTATATCACATTGAGGGAGACAGCTTAGAAAGGATGGACAAAAGAAATACTGTTACTGCTGGACTGCTGAACAAGGGGAAGCAGTAACAAAAGATCGTCGCCTGTGCGATTCGAACACACGCGCATAAATGCATCCGCTGTCGAGCTATGCGAGATAGCAGGCGAACCCGTTAACCACTCCGGCAAAGCGACTTGTTAGCAAACAGTCCATTTGTATATATTATATAATTGTATATGGAAGTAATGACACAATCAATGACCTTCAACCCCACATTATGTTCTACGTTTTCAACGTCGTGCTTGGGTCCAAAAGCGCCCATATTCCTTCCGACAGCCTTTTCAGCAAATAGACAGCCGGTTTGGAGTCAGTGTTGTGATTCGTCAACCACTGTGCTAGCGTTCTCAGGCAGTTACATATTAGATGGTTGAAGCAAGAACATTGCAAACTGCCCAAAGTAAGCCAAGCGAGAACCAGTGCAGAAAGTATGTAATTCAGAACTGGCCCAGTGATAACTGCCCAATTGGCAAAGAGGACCTTCGCCCTCAAATTGAGGGCTGGTGACTGGTTCGGTGAGGGTAAGATCAATGCACCCATAAACTGTCCCATAAGCCGATTTGTTGTTACATTAAGGCCCCTTGAGCCATCATCGGGCACCAGAGCTTCGACTCAGCTTGTGTAGTTGCTGGAATAAGTCATGGCTCTGTGGAGTGTGTATAGCCGACGAGGACACACAGCTCCCAAGGTGGTGGTGGTGGTGGTGCGGGTGCCGCAATGGTGTGAAGGAGCGGTCGTGCAAATATGATGCCCTGTCGGACTATGTTCTCTGTGCGATCGTCTCCTTGGATATACTCCCATGGGGGGTTTACGGTCATCGGCTACGTAGCATGTAACTTCTGAGTATTCTCTCTAAGCCATAATTGCGAGTTTAGATAATTCACGTCCTAGACGGAATGCAAGCATTATCTGACTTATCCTCTTTGACATAATCTCATAACTCGGTCCGTGGTTCCATCGCTTCCATTATCAGAATCTGAATACAGCGGCTGGATTACACGACATTTACGCTCGTTCAGTAAGTTGCGAACCTAACAGGCAACGTCAGTCGTGTGAGGGTACTGACAGCTTCATTCAAGTCTTACTAGCATCTTGAACACTTGAGGAATGATTCTCCATGTCCTATCCACAAGCACTAGTTGCATCTACGTCAACAAGCGGTCTGTGTATATGAGGGATTGCGATGTTGTGAACTTACATCATCATTATTGGACAATAAATAATCAATTTTTCCGGCCGCATGGATGGCTCTTGGGTCCACTGTCGTTACTGGCTATTGCATTCTTCGGGGAATGAGCTTCGCAAGACTCAGGCCTTAAACGATTCACTGACTTTCTTCAGGTCGTTGCGTGCAGCTTTCCAAACATCGTAGTGAATGATATTACTAGTCACGATATCGAGAATGTCCACAGCTACCGTCGCTAGGGACGTCTCATTCACTGGGAGATTATCCACCCATCCGCTGCACTGTGCAACGGCTTGACAAACACATGCGTCTGTGACCTCCCGAGTGAACGAATCGTACTCATGTCCTCTGGTAGGATGCGGGCGGCGGTGTGAACAACGTCCAGCAGCAGGTCGTTACTGTGATCGACCGGTACTTTTCCGGTCCGGATGAGACAGCGAACGACCGAACACGGAAACGCCCCGTCCATCTCCCGCTGCTTTCTCAACTCCATCGCGTCAAATATCGCATGTATAAGGAAGATGTACGTTCGGACATGATGGGTGTCTTCTGGCAGCCTCTTCCGGGCCGCATTAAGGCGAGCTCCCGTCAACAGAAGCACTGCGCTCGAGTCGAGTGCTCAGATAGCGTTCTCCGTCGCAAGGACAAGAGAGAGGCAGATTGAAGACGCTCCCCACTGCCAATTCAAGCTCTCTACGTTCATTGGATATGCCATAGTGCACACCTTGCACATTATCCCTAGCATTCCAAGCCGGGCAGCCTCTGTCTGAAAGGCCGGGTTACCCTTCGTAATCTCCCACCCGGAGACCATGGCTACCAGGACTTTCAACAAACTGTCTTCATACTTCAAGAACCCAATCAGACCCGAAAGGTACTTCATCCAGGTATAAATGTCATCAACCAATTTGTTGTCATGACTAGTTCTGGTTCCTCGACAAACGCCGTCGCTATTCCTCGCAATGCTAGGCGCACGCGTTCTGATTGTGGGGGTAACTTCAAAGGATAAACCTTGCAGGGTTCAGGCGGGGAAATCCGGAGCTGGGCGGTGAGCTTGAGCAGAGTGTCCTTTTGTATGGTGTTGAACACATTTGTTCCACCTCTTCAAGAGATCTGGCTGATCACTTTTCTGGCATATTGTATGCAGTAGAAGGAGCCATGTAATAGAGAGAGGGGGGGGGGGGGGACCGGCTACAGCAGTGGCGACAATAGTTGAAGGGTTTTGATTCTGGCTGTTATTTGTGTGTTCAAGATTATGGGATCAGCATGCATTACAAGGGTGGTTCTGCTTCATAAAACTCTACAGCTAATCAAGAGCGGAACAGATCGTCGTGAATACCAAGATAACAAGAAGGGAAAAGGAAAGAGGGAGCTAAAGCATAACCAGTGGTGTGTGTCCATTACTTACTGGAGAAAACGAGTGTAAAGGGGAGACGAGAAGTGACAGGGGAGGTATAGGAGCAGTCGAATCAAGCGCCGATCTCGCCAAGGTTTCGGAAGGGGATCAGGCTTTGGATGTTGGATCGCATAGCGGAGAATGCTATTGGTAGCGAATATACTGACTCGTAGAAAATCCATGCAATGACGACTGATAAAAGTCGATTAAGTTAGCAACACCAAATCAGCGCAGTCATCAGAGAAACGTACTCAGCAAGATCGGTAACCAGAACAGCAGGAGCATGCGGTCCTCTGAAAGGTGGAGAAAAACCATGATCAAAAAACGAAGTTGTTCAATGGTTGCTTCCGACGTACGTTTGAGTTTCCTCATCTTCTGGGAGTAATATGCGTAAGCATGGATCTCACGATCTGCTACCTGGCCGGGCTCAAAGCCAAGCCGTCTGGCCAACTTCGCCTTTAGGAGTGCCTTCGGCGGGCCTGCGCTTCCTTCCGCCGTGTCCTCCTCAGGTTGGTCAAGCGGTACGGAAGTTGGTGTAGCAACCTCATCCGCATTCGGTGTGTACATTGGCACCGCGTCCGTTGACGGCAGGGGCCGTTGTTGCTGCATGCTCCTTGGCGAAGCCTTCTCTAACCACCATCCACCATAACCCGCTCCCCATGCTCGCCACGATTCACCCTTCTCGCCCCCGCCACCTACTTGCCAAGGCAGTGCTGGTATTTGCATCTGGAAGGCAGTGATGTCTGGGATCTGAATATTCTGCAACCACAGCACATCGGGCACCATTGCCGGCGGAGGTTGGAGTTGGGCAAGCGTTCGATGGAACCACGCAGATGAAGCATCCACGATGGACGGCACCTTCTCATTCAGCTGCCCCTCAACCGGTTCCTTGAGAAGTGCTGGCCGATTTGGCAGGTCCCGGAGGGTTGGCGTAGCCTCCTCTTCCGCCTCGTCATGAGATGAATATAGATCGGATCTAGCTTCTCGCGATGAATCGGCAAACGCCACTTTGTTGGTGACTCTAGTAGGCATCGCGCTTGATATACGGGCTTCTCGCCGCCGAGAACGCGAACCTGGCGAGTGAATCTCCAAGTGCTCGCACTCGTCCTCGGTCTGGCCTTCAGTCCAAGGCTCGTCATCGTCCACTTCATCATCGTCCACTTCATCATCGTCAACATCCTCCTCCGCCTCGTAGTTGACATCGTGATCATCATGAGCTACATAGTTTCCCTGCCCCGCATCTTCGGACTCGGAAGCATCATCGTCGTACTCTGGGCTGGAAGACCGACGTTCCAGCTGTTCCAGAAGCATATGGACGTCTGCCTGATCCTTGTCGAAGGCTATTTGCGTCGCACTCCGCCCTCTGCCATCGACCACCTCGAGGTCAGCATCACCGTGTTCGACGAGAATCCGGGCGCACGCAAGTCGGCCACAAGCGGCAGCGAAATGCAACGCCGTGAACCCGTTCCGATCCCTCGCATCAACATCGATGCCTCGTATCACAAGAGCTGAAACAAGGCGATGGAAGCCTAGGATGCAGGCGAGATGCAGAAGGGTCTGGCCCGTAGCGTTCGGATGGGAGATTGCTTCTGTGACGGAGATGGCTGCGGTAGAAACACCGTCGGTCTCCTCGTCGAGTTCAACGTCCATGAGATTTAGGAATTCGATGATAACCGACTGGAAGTCCCGACTCTGCCTACTACCCGCTGGCGATATCATAGAGGCTAGGTCGGCGGATGACTGGATGCGAGAAACTGATGGTGAATGGTGATGTACTGAGCGCGACAGCAAGGACATTTGATGACCACCACCGTTTCCTCCGCCACCGGAGGTATGACTAGAGCTGGACATATCCATGCCAGAGTTCGTCCCAACGATGCGCATCGCCACATTCTTGGCCTCTTCGATCCTGCCGGTCATCTTCAGGCCAACAACCTGCAGCGCAAGTTCCATCCTGTAATAACGCCAACTTGTTAGACAATTCGCTGTAGCGTGAGGAAGAGAACTTACAGAGCGCGATCCGAGTTGTCTAGGTAGGTGAACAGTTGGAGACCCCGCGTGCCACTGCCTGCACTACCACCAGCGCCACCATTCATCCCAAGTCCAAGGATCCCATCTACGTCTTCCATTCCACTTCCGTTATTGGATACAAGGGGGATGCCCTTGAATCCGACTACAACAGGTCCAGGACTCGGGCTGGGAGGTAATATACATACAATGGTGTTCTCGCTCCACATTTGAGTGCTCGTCGCCAATGTATCTCCGAAAACGCACTCGTGGGAAGGGCGGAAGTTGGCACCTAGGATGGTGACCTTGATCCCACCGTGCATTGGACCTGACGATGGGATAAGGTGGTGGATTGTGGGGGCAGGCGCCTGAGGTGCAGAGGAGGAAGAAGCCTGAGCGGGCGGTTGCGACGTCATGGAGCTTGGATAGTGGGCCAAGAGGGCCGAAAAGTCTGGGCCTACCAGACTGTTGTTGTTGACGGGGCTAGCTGACTGAGGAAAAAGATCTCCGGACATCATACTATGACCCATGAATGAGGACATGGGCGAGCC